CAGAGCGCCAGTTCCTGTATATCCTGTTCTGCAGGGTGGTGGGCAGGGGCCATGAGCGCACACCCACATCTGCACCGTCCCAAAGCTCAGCAGGAAACGCACACAAATTAGCCTCACTGGAAAACAATTGTTTTTAGAACTTCCCACTTAGAAACAAATAAGAGCTCTGGCCTTTGACACAGCCTGTGTCAATGCCTGGCGGGGGTCAGCGATGGGAGCGGGTGACAGCCCCAGAGACCTTCTTCTGTTCCGTCTCCACCAGGGAGCAAGGACCAGCACTTGTTCTTGTCATGAGACTGCACTTACCTATGGTGGCTGGAAGGTGCATCGTGGCAGAAGCCTGGGAGATAAACGCGCTGAAACACAGAAGCAGGGGCTTCAGGGCCAAGCAAGTGGCGAGATGAGGGCCCTGCTCTGGAGGCCCACCCGCAGCTCAGCCCAGACCATCCTGGGGTCCTGTTCAGTCTCCGGCGAGCACCTCCAGGGTGGCCTGGGCCAGGGCTGAAGAGGCCGCACCAGGAAGGGCGTCCACCCACTAAAGCCGAGATGCCTCTTTTTTGGCCTGTGCTCCACTCTCGGAAATGAGCTAAATGATCCCGGCTCTGGGAACCAGACAAGGACACAGGGATGCTGATATGCAAGGCAGTGGGCCAGTGGGCCTCACCTGGCCTGGGCACAGGGATGATTCCAGTCCACCCGGAGCAGCCCGGTGGTGACTCGGGACGGCCCTGACGACCATCCTGTCCTCCCCCCGCCCCCACCTCCCCGATGTCCAAGCGCTCCTCACCGCTTCCGAAGCTCCGTGTCATCTCTGAGCCTGGCCTGGCTGGCAGACAGCAAATTCTGCAAGAAAGCCCTCGCTTCCTTCCAGGCGGCCTGCCCCAGGCCCATGAAGCTGTTGAGAGTAGGCTAAAGCAGCGAGAAAGAAGGTCACACACAGGAAAGCGCTGGGNAAATGTCCCATTTCTAGATCTTGGTGCTGGCTGCCCAGGGATGCTGACTTTGTGAAAATTCATTAAGCTGTACATACACTTATAATTTGCACATTTTCATCTATGTGGGCTGTGCTTCAATTAGAGTTTCGCTTAAAAATAAACAAGTTACTCTGACCCATCCAGCCCCTGACAGAAGACGGAGACCACAGCCTTACAGGTACATCTATTGTTCCCCAGGAAAGTCACGGGCCAGGGCTGTGCAGCCTCCATCTGCACGGTCTCTGATCTCATGGCCTCTCTGGAAAGGAGCCAGGCCGTGGAGCTCCAGGCCCACATGGGATCTGCCATCACGTCCCCAAACTGATGCGACTCCCTTGTTCCTGCCAGAAGAAAGTGCCCTCTTCCCCTCACTTCTGTAAGCACTTTGCTCAGCTTCAAAACTTACCTTGAAATTGGACCTGCATATGGTCGCTGGCTGGCTCATCCCTTCTCCTGTTGGAAAGACAAGGCATGTGATGTTGACAAAAGACTCCATTCCGTTCACCAGGAAGGGAAGATAAACCCACCATGTAAGGTGGGCTGCTTTGTGGCGGAAGCTTCCCCTAGCTGAACATGACTTTGCCTCGAGTCTGTGAAACCTGGGGGACTCCGCAGAGGTGCTCTATCCAGAAACGGCAAATCCACGCGCACAGCCTCCCTTCTCCCCGCAATCCCGTGGCACACGGCGCATCCTGGTCACGGCACGGGTCTCCTCTGAGTTCAGGTGGAGCCTCAGAATGCTCCTGGCCCCGCTAAGCAAGCGGGGGTAGTGTACAGGGTGAGTCCTACTGCCAGTCCCTCAGGAGCCCTTTGGTGACGGGCAGGGTCCCACTTCAACAGTATTTACTGGACACCAATGACACGCAAGGCACTAGGCCATCACTGCGCCATGTATGAACAGTGCACGTAATTAGGAAACTGTATATAATGAACAATTAGAAAAGTCTGGCACTCCCTGAGAACCAGCCTCCT